CTGCAGAGAGCTCGCCTGCAGTCAGTTTAACAGGCGCTGCTGCTGCTGCTTCTACTGCCACATTGCCCTCTACCAGCTCCGCTCTATTAGTTCAGCTTCAACACCTCCCAGCGGCCCCAAGGTTGTGGCAAAGTGGTAGTTAATGTCTGTGTGTGTATGGCGCATGTGCTTCCAGTCTGTCACTGGACAGATTAAGTGGATATAATGACATGCATACGGAAGACCATATAGGGCAAGAAAGTAATTAAGAAAGTTGAGATAGTAATTGGCTTTAGTTCAGAGGGCACTGGTAGCGAAAAATTTATGGACATTTAAGTTTTAAAAGAAAAAAAAAACTGCCATTAATGTACATCCTCATGGCGTGTTACAATGCAATTTGGTTACATCTCTTCCCATTAGACAACCTAGAGACAAGTAGAGAAGACAAAAGCAGCACCCTCTGAGCTAAATGTGTAATATTATACCAATAAATGTCTTGGTATATTTAATGGCAGAACTAGAAGAAAAACATTCATTCATTCATTTTCTACCGTTTGTTCCCTGAGCGGGGTCACGGAGCCAATCCCGGCCGGCAATCGGGCGAAGGCGGGGGACACCCTGGACAGGTCGCCAATCCATCGCAGGGCTAACACATAGACGAACAACCACACATACACGCACTCCTATGGGCAATTTAGAGACACCAATCAACCTAAGCTGCATGTCTGTGGTCAGTGGGAGGAAGCCGGAGTACCCGGAGAGAACTCACGCAAGCACGGGGAGAACATGCAAACTCCACACAGAAAGGTCCCAGGTGGGGCCCGAACCCGGAACCTTCTCGCTGTGAGGCAACGGCGCTAACCACTGTGCCACCGTGCTGCCTGAAGAAAAACATGACTAGGACAATTAGAAAAGAGGAAGCACATAACAAAAAAGTGACACCTATATAAAACTGACACCTTCCAGTGATCATCTCTGTGCATTCACAGTTTGAGCAAAACAGTTTTGGTCATGGCTGTGATAGAATGGTATCCTACTATTATAACTCATGAGTCCAATTACAATTAAGTGAGTAACCAGTGGTGGAAAGAAAAAAAGTTTACTTAAGTATGGTACTCGACCGTTTTGAAGTCATCTGTAATTTACTTGAGTAATTCCATTTTGTGTTTCTACATTTCAGAGGCAAATATTGTACTTTTTACTCTACTACATTTGACAACTTCACAGAATAATATAGAAATAGGACCCAGTAACAAGTGAAGTAGTTAAAATTAGCACCTTTTGCAGCCGCATCATTAAAGGTGATGTACACACTAATGATTATAACTCAGTAATATACATTGTACCTTTTACCTGTGGTACTTCATGTATATTGAGTACCTTTATCCTTTTAAGTAAAGTTTTGAAATCCAAAAACTTACTTGTAACAGTATTTTTATACTGTGATATTTCTACTAATTTATTAAATACATGCTTCATGGGGTGTTTTTTTTTATCACTATATGGCTATTAAAAAAAGTAGACGTGTGCAAAAATAGAACACTAAGAAATACAGACTACACTAAACTCCTATAGGAGGTACTGTACTACCAGTACTTAATCCTGCAAAAACATTTATTAGTAACACCGGTCAACATAGTGAGACCTGTCACACAGCTTGGTCAGAACACACTGGGAGCCAAGGAGAAAGCATCATTAGTAACATCAACACTGTTACACAGGAACATGCCTGGATCACACAAAGACAGACATCAGTTGGCTTCCTGACATCTACACCCACATGTGCTCACTAGTTACAAAAACTGTTTTAGTATACTCTATAAACAGATTTTTTTTTATGGGTTTCCAAGTTTTGCACAACACATGCAAGATTATGCACAGGACATTTACACAGCGTACACAAACACATGCAGAGTGTCCACATGGAAACAGCACATATGCACCAAGCATCTTTAGCCTTGACACTTTTACTGTTGGAAACAAGCCATTTCATTTACATGCAAATTGACACTCAGTCTGCCACACAGACATACAGTCCTGCCTGACATGCATGCTCGTGCAAGTGCGTATGAGTGTTTATGAGCAGTGTAGCTGCCATTCTGTCCTGCTGCTTCTCTCAATCACTGAGAGATGCAGGCTCTCATTTCATTTTTGTTATTCAGGTTTGCAGCTTTTCATCTGACAAAATATGTATGAAGCACGGCCCATCGATGCGTACATGTCATCTCATGCCTGGCACTGAACAGTGATCAGATTTCCCATTTTGACACAAGGACCAAGAATCAGTTTGACTGAGCATTTTATACTAATGAGCTTGTGACTGATCATCACAGCAGGAGGGGAAACACGGCAGAAATGCAACTGAAATGACAACTTGACAGTAATAACTTAAAACATAGTGGGAAAGTATTATGCAGACAGAACACTTAATCAGATCTCTGTCGCTCTCTGCTGGTCAACATGAGACACTGCATAAAACCTGCTTTAACCAAAAAACATTTAATTACCTCCACTAAGGTGGTTATGTTTTTGGTTCCATGTGAGACACTGCATAAAACCTGCTTTAACCACCACTAAGGTGGTTATGTTTCTGGTTCCATGTCTATTGGTTTGCAGGATTATGAACAAATCGCTGGATGTATTATTATCATCATACTTGTTACAGAAATTGGTGGGGACCAGCCCTAGAAATGATTACATTTTTGCTGAAAAATATCCCATACTTAACATGGGGCATTTAAAAAGAAAAAAAATTTTTTTTAAATTTGACACATGTGCAATGTCTATCACCAGACCAACTTTCATTTGGCTCTGATGACCATTTAAAGGCATATTTTCTGCCATAACAAAGATAGAACCTTGATATGTTCAGGTAAGATCTGTCATATAACTGCCTATCACACCCTAAGAGGATTCAGATCGGACACATTGCATTGTTTTGGATCTCGTCTTTCCCAAGGGACTCGTTTGCATGCGCGAATGTTGTGCATTGGCGGAGGTACATGCTCCGAGTAGAAAATGTTTTAGCTTAAGGATTTTGCCTCTAATTTAGTCTTTATGACATGGGATTTTTAAGGATTTAAATTTGACATTCATCTTTGGGTGCTTTGTCTGATAACGCAGCAAATAAAACCAATTACACAAAAACTAGTTGTATATGCAATATAATCCACCCCTGCCCAAATAAAACCAATCAGTCACTGTACACTGATTTCATTTGCTATTAGCAGTCATTTAGTGAGGGCTGCAGCACGGAATGGCAAATAATCAGAACCACATTTGATTATCTGTTGAGAGTCGTACACTCCTTACCGTGAGGAAATAGTCGGCTTACAAAGATTATTTCTGTTATAATGGAGCTGAAAGGCTCAGCCAACAGCCTCAATCCGATTTAGCGCTATGATAAAACACCAGTGCTGGTAAATGCACTCACAATGTTACATAACATTAACAAATATATGTCTCCTACTTGAAAAGGTGATTTAGCTGAAGTCAACCATTTCTAATCTCAAGGTTAATTTCCCTGCAGGTTTCATTAACAGAATAATTGTGTCATTAAGTCTTGATTGGTGTGCTGCTGGCTGACATGTTTAGATAGCATGTCCATGGGTGATTTAACCTACAACTGTGACTGCAAAGCTTCATACAGTAAGCACTATAAATTAATACTGATAACTTTATCGCAAGTGCTATGATCAGTACTGTTAAACTCCCAGGTGCTATCAAACTTCCATGACTTCTTTAATCCTTTTATTGCCATTGATACGTCAGGTTTCAATCATGTGCACCTTAGTAGTACTGTTATCATCATTGTTTGTTTTTTTTACTTCCCCTCCTTTTCCCTTTCATAGACTGCATAAGTTAGAAATACCCACACTTCACACACTACAACCTTGTTTAACACTATATCCTTTTGTAATGTCATGTAACTGTTGTCTTGTCTCCCATGTTCGGTACTGTTTCGTTAATGTGTTTTTTGTTTCAATAAAAAAATAAATAAATAAATAAAAAAAAAACATGTGCACCTCTATGCTTTCAGTCCATGTGAAGAAGATTTTTTTTCTTATCATCTGACAAACTGATCTGCAAAATGATCAAACCAAATACTTTGGAAGTGTTTAACAAACCATCTCAGATCTGTCCAAGTTACGTGTGTGATGATGAGGGAAGCAGCAAAGAGACAGACGGAGGACAAAAAGCCAAACGTTCTGTAGGAGGTCTGTTGATTATTACTGTACGAAATGGAGCATTGTGCATCAACGAGATCAGGTTGGACAACTTTTCAAAAGCTATGGTTGCATTACATTAAATAAAAAGAACACAGAGTATGCTGCAAAATAAACCACACATACTTGCCCATTTTAAGGCTGGTCTAATCATTTTGTTGTCAGTCTAAATTATTTGTTTCATAATTTGTTATGAGGTAGTGAGAAACTTAACATTGCACTCATTACTGATCTGATGCATTTTCATAATGAAATTACCTCTTTCTTTACTAGTAGTTTATAAATACAGATGTAGGCTATTTTTGTACATTTGGGTCCCAACGAAAAGCCAAATTTCTGCTTTGGGTGTCGAGCTGATAGTCTCATTTATGGAGTTTTAAAGGTGCAGCTTGTTACACAGCAGATTAGTACAGAGCAGAGTAATGGCTTGAGTTGGCAATATAGCGTGATCAAAGTTTTTGGAAAAACAGTCAGGCAGAAACTTAGAAGCCAAAATGTGAACAATGAAAACCTGGCAAAGATCATGACCTATTAGTAACACCATGTCAGTAAGGCTGACAGGAAAAAAATTGAAAGAACATAAATGTGCTATGGACTAGAGGACTACACACAGAGTTACCGAGACAATGCACAGGATATAGCCTAGAATGGTGGCAGAGCACAAATCAAGCACAGCAAGACAAAGAGCTCACAGAAGAAAACAATGAATAACAAATAATACTAACAGTCACTATGGGGAAAAACTACAGCACAAAAAAAATCTAAGTCATTGCAAAACATAAAAGACTGACTGACCATAAATGAGAAGGGACGATTCCCTGAACGGTGTCCGCTGACATCAACAACACAGGCCAAGTCTACAGACAGTAATAAAAGCAGAAATCCATCAACATGAAGTTGAAACAACAACTTCTGTTTGACTGACTGCCCAACATCAAACCAGTAACTCTGGCGTGTGAGACTCTGGCTGAAATTCAAAATAATAATAAGGGCATGAAACCCAGAAAACTATCCAAGAGAATGGTGCCAAATAATGAGGAAGTAATTGGGAAATGAGGAGCAGGTGGGCAGGTGGGCAAGACAGAGTCAGGTGACTGGAGATGGAGGGAAAGCACAAGGACATCTTGTGGCTGGATTGGGAATAGCATGGACTGTGAGACATACCAGTAGTAACTGAAATCATTACAAAGTCCAGTTTACTTGTCATGGGGAGCACCACCCACTCTATAGAAATTCTTTTATCATTTCCTCTGCAGCTCTGTTTGAGAAAATAACCCTGACGATGTCATCAATCATGGTTTGTATTTAAACACTGCAATATTTTTACAGAGAAAGACCATCCTTTGAAATGACGTAACCTTTAAGAATGCTGCCATGCAAATAAAGTTTGATTGATTGCAGTCTGGGGCATATGGAAAGTATAACAAAAGACGATGTTGAGTTGCATTTTGGGAAATGTAGGATTCAGCATTTTTGCAGCCCTTGTACTAAAGGTTTTGTTCTGAAGATAATTACTGTACAAGGAGCAGAGAAACACATTAGAGAAAAGCTGAAAAATATTTTTTTAAAATCATTTTGTTTGGACATTCTCACCATAGAACCTGTGTACACTGATTTGTTTCAGAGGTACTGCATAGAAAATTATCTATAGTTAAGATATATGATATGTCTGCTGATGTGTAGTGTGGCACATCAGTGGAAACATAACATCATTTTTATTTGCCTTCTTTTAAACAACACTGCAGCATAGGTCAAAATATTTAAGACTTTTTTATTGTTTGAAAAGTCATCTAGCAAAACTGGATCAATTCCTTTACACTGCATCCTTTCTCGCAGCAAATATCAGAGATTTTCCCAGAAGCCCGTTTGACTTGAGCAGACAGGGGGTACCAGTGAGGAGCCGGGGAGTAGACAGCCTGATTCTCCTTTGTGGAGGCATCCGGGTTCCCTGTGCAGCAGAGAGAGAAAGATATTTACATTTACAAAGATATGACATTTACAAACATTTCTCGTTGTCGATGGGAAACATCATGCAGAAATTGAAAAGGAAATTTTGGAATCAACTTACAAAAGAATGCAGCTAAAAATGTAACATGCAGTACTCACAATGAGGAGCGTAGTGATGGTGGCCCACTGGTATGTCCGAGGTGCTTCTGATAAATCGTGTGTTTCCACAAGAGGAAACAGCAAGTCGTATCAGCTCCCTCCCACACATCTTAATCTTGTCCTGTGCATGAATCACACCTGTTGCAGCCACAAACCCCACCATCACGCATGCCAGATACTTAGTAGTGAACATTGTTGTTCAGTCGAGGCAGGAACTAAGCGGACGAATAGAGAAGGTGAGACTGGTGTGGAAAGCTAAGTAATGACCAACTAGAGGGGGTTTATATAGTCAGTGTGCAAGGTCCATAGCGGTGGTTTCAGAAAAACTGAGGTCAAAAATTGCTCAAAAGTTATATTCAGCCCTGTCATGAGAAAACCATGTCCTGAAATGACCCTGATGTGAAGTCTCATCAAGGCTGAGATTTTAAAAACATGTTGTCCAATAGTGATCAACAGCTCAAAACACATTATAAGTATGAAGTGAGAAGTTTTGTGACTTACTTTGAGCTACTGACAAGAACATCACCATTGGTCTGAGTTTGATCCTTCACTGGGAAACAGAAATAAAAAATAAAGCTGGGATGGATTTCAAGCAGCTCGGTTGCTAATTAGCCCTGTGTGTAATGGTTTTAGGGTTCTTCCTTGGTTTGTTTTATTGATGTCCCTACACTCCTATTCTGTTCACAGCATGTACAGACAGTACGTTTAAAAACTGACAGAATAATATCATTCATGTTATTCCACTAAACTATTGTCCTTGAATATCGGCTGCTGTTGCACCTTATCTTGACACATCTTGAACGATGGGAACTAATTGGAACAGAGTGCAACTGGCAAAAAGACTTCAAGGATATTGACGTAACTATTCACACACGGTCAACCCAGGACACTCTGTAGCTACATAATGACGCCAACGATGACCATCCCAGCTCAGATGAAAACCATGAAAGGTAGCAACTTTGTGTCCGATGTACCCCTGGCTATGCATGTTAACATTTAACAATGATTATTTTGTTACACACAAATACAATATTTTCTACAGATGCTGAATTCACTTGATTTTATTTGGTTGCTCAGATTATTTGTACCAATGACTCCACAACAGACTCCAGGAACATTCTTGCTTCAGTGTTTTCAGTTTTGTTGATTTGTTCTTCAAAATGTCATTGTGTATTTGCTTTGGCTAATGTGTTTGCTTGTTTGTCATCACATGGCTTTTGTAATTTCACACGCAAAATCAGCTTTAACTTTCTGGAACAAAATGAAATTTCTCTGTTTCTTCTGTCTTTTAAAAGATGGAAAGTAAAAGTTTAGACTGAGGTTTAGAAGGCATTTTACGTTTATTGCTGCTAAACTTCAATATTGGTCGACAAAATCAACAAACATGTTTCTGAGCTGGAATCGTGTAATTGTCTACCCACTAAATCATCTTTCATTTCATTAAATGAGGTAGCATGGACAGGGACAGAAAGAGACTTAATGAGCTGGTTAAGAGAGCTGGTTCTGTCCTGGATTGCTCTCTGGATTCCATCGAGGAGGTGGCGGACAGAAGGATGCTGGCAAAACTAACATCCATCATGCATAACCCCTCCCATGTAATGGTTTTAGGGTTCTTCCTTGGGCAGAGCATAACAGAACGTACTAGATCGCAGTAGAGCATAGTGGAGCAGGGAGAGGCAGTGCTTGGTGAAGCAATGTGGACTGATTTGAAGTTTTATGTTTTTGCTACCTTAAGTTACATATGTACAGTGACAAGAAAAAGTATGTGAACCTTTTGGAATTTCATGGTTTTCTGCATTAATTTGTCTTATCTTCATCTAAGTCAAGACTATTGACAAATACAATGTGCCTAAAATAATAACACAAAAAATTTCAGATATTTCATGTCATTATTGAAAACAACCATAAACTTCTCATAGTGTTAGAGGAAAAAGTATGTCAACCGGTTATTAATTCAAAGAGTTCACTTACTTTTTCCAACTACCATTTTGAATGTTGAATGAGTGTCTTCAATAGACATGAAAGATCAGAATTTTTTTGTGTTATTATTTTAGGCATATTATATTTGTCAGTACTGACTTGGATGAAGATCAGATCACATTTTATGACAAATTAATGCAGAAAACCATGGAATTCCAAAAGGTTCACATAGCTGTAGCTTTATGTAATTGAAGAATGATATGACCTTAAAGTCCCTTATATTCTCCTCTGGCATCCCAAAAAGAGAAATATGATTTAAAGAAATTCATAAAAATACAGCGCGTACAGTATTGCAGAACAAATGCACAGCTTTCAGTTGTGCTACTTTTCTTCTGTTTTTCTGGTGCAAAACCTCACTGTGACTCCTTGGTAAATAAGAATGTGCAGTTTCACTGTTTACTGCCAAAAGATGAGCCACAAAACTCTTAGTTAACACCCTCCCATGTGTATCTGAAAGTGGCCACATGTGTAGGTGATGTCAGAAAGAATTTAAACACATTTTGCATTTACCATTTAATGTCAGACTCTTTTAGCTCTGATGAAAATGATTGTACTCTATCTGACAAGCACTGAACAGCAGAAATAGAGCATTTAGCAGATGAAGAGCCAAATATTTTCATCAGGAGTTGGTGGAGCCAAAAGGTGAGTGAATATTAAACCTAACTGTTGCTGCATGCCTGCTGGTTGATGGAATACCGCCTGTTTACTACCACTTATCACTGCAAATGACTTACTACCTAAATGCCATTCTAAGATATTCAAGAGTGTATATGTTATAATACATCAACATCTTGCTCCTACAGAATCATTTTAGACATCTTGCAATAATGTCATTTTAGTCAAGGTGCATACCCATCTGTGTCTGTCTCTCTTACTGCCATTTCCCCAGTGTCCCTTTTGACTGCATCTATTCCTGTCCATTCAGTCCTGCCTAAGTCACATGAGACAGCCACTCAGTACTCTTGAGTTTTAATTGATGCTGACGACACTATTAAACCACTGGCATCTCTCCCATTACCTTATCCTGTAATACAATTAGACAGGGAGCAATGACTCTGTCTGTTACCAGACACAGGTTTCAGGTTTCTTGTAATTGAAAGGGAAACTGGATGATTATGATAATGGGTATGATGGTACAATAGCTGAAAGGATAACATACAGACCTTTTTTTAATTATTTATGAAGTCTTTTTTGCACTTTTGAGGGGTATTGAGAACAGGTTTGAACATATGTTTTACATGGTTTCCAGTCTGTGTTGCATTTGTATTATTTGTTTTTATGGGTAACAAAGAAAAATAATGACACATTTTATAATATTAGCACATTTGCAAATTTTTTGCATTTTTAAGATCATACATGGGGGAAGTGGTGGAGCAAGTGGATAACATCAAGTTCCTTTAAAGTGATCAGTGTAACACTGCGTCATTAATAATGCTACTGTCTAGTTCAGTTTGGTCAGAATAAGTTGCAGTCAGGCGCTGTCCTTGGATACAGATAACAAGCTGTCCACTGGGAGCATCTTGCCCATTTGAAAAAGGAGTCATCATCCATAGCATGCAAACAGCACCTGCTATAAAGCTGAGGCTTAAAGCTTATTTCAGCTTGCTGCTGTCTCCATTTCCCACTTAGATTGTTTATCTTAAATCACACAGGCTCAGAGTTGGAGGCAGGTGGGGTTTTACACTTTCTAGAGTCATGAGTGAAAAGGTTGTTTAGGGTTAGAAAGTTCACAACTAGGCAGCTTCTATCAATCCTCACTTTCACTGATAGATTTCCTTCCACTGGGCCAATAGTATATTTCATCATCAGAATCCTCTGGCTGTGGCTCAAAGCAGCTGTCAAACCTGCGCCTCAGGCGTTTCCTCAGCTGGAAGGCGCGCTCAGTGTTTGAAAATGTAAATTCCTGTTCTTTCAGTTTGGCGTAGTAGTCAGAAAACTTGTTGAACAGAATGGAGATAGGCATGCCATTGAGGATGATGCCAAAAGAAATGCAGCTAAATGCCACACAGCGACCAAGATAAGAGATTGGGACAACATCACCATAGCCCACAGTAGAGATGCTCACCTGTGGGAAGAAGAGAGTGAAGTGTAATAAGCAAATCCAAATGGTAAGGGCATCCAGTGTGTTAGCTTTGTTGAAAAGATGTCATACTCAAACATCCTATGTTGTTTTTGTACAATTTTAGATTATTTTCCTGCTTATGAAAGGATATATAGGATACCAGAAAGGTGAAATATTAACCTTTTTTATTTTTCTCATGGTTCATTCAAATTATCCCATTCATCCAGTCTAAAAATAAACTAATGGCCAAGGCTTTGTGAGAGTCCAGGTGTTAAAATGCTTATTCTGTGGATCAGTGAGTGGGTTGCAATTTGAAAATGAACAGGATGGAAAAAACTCTCAGGGAACGTACTGTAACACTTTCCATCTCTCAAATTCAGTCACTGTGTCTGGACAGAAACAAAATGCATCACAGTGTATTAGAGTGGATTAGAAACAAAAATGAACAGCTGCCACTAGAAAAATAAAACCAAATGTCCTTAAACAAAAGTGAAAGAAACACAGAGAACCAGCCAGATGATGCACAAACACACTGAAACCTACAGTATGTTAGTGCATTACAGCACAGCAGACCTCAGGCAAAATGGACCTCTTTACAAACTGTTTTCCTGTATAATTTACCTATGAAGAAAAACAAAACCCAAAATAGTGGAGCTTGCATGCTGTCTATTTGATCAAATAGCTTCTTAGCAACATATACTCGCAACCTATTGCTGTGTACTGTAATGACATGGGCAGTAGTAAAACTGTCCTGAAAGGATCCTAAACTGAAATATAAAATGTAACTGCACTCTCATAAAATGCCTTAAATTCCACATTAAAGCCACTACTGTTTACAAACTCCGGTGTTTTGTAAACTCAGCCTATCTACGTTTGCCAGTAATTAAAGTAGCTGTTTGACATTTGGGGAATTTTGCTTACTGGGTTTTCCTAACAAGAATTTTAATACTGCTCTCACACCTGTCAGTGAACACATGAACACACTTTTATAGCATTTGGATCCAGCCAAGTTCATGGAAAAGTTACCAAAATGCCACAGCATAGGAGAAAAATCCAGAACTTGAAACCTTTCTGAAGTCTATACTACTCACCGCAGCCCACCACCAGGCATCTGGTATGCTGCTGAACGGTGTCCCAGGCTGATCCACCTCCACAGAGTGCATCAGAGCAGAGAAGGTGAAGATGCCCATCGCAATGAACAAAAATAGACAGCATACCTGAAAGACCACAGAGAGGTACATACATGTCAACAACAGTGTCCATTATTATTGCTTCAACACAGCTGGCAGCACTGAAGTGGTACAGTAGTAGGTTGGACAAAAGATCATAGATTTAAAAACCTATGACGCTGTTAAATTGTTTATTCCCTCTGCTTAACTACAGACAAGACTGGGGCATTTACATAAAATTTGTCAAACCTTTTCCATGTGTAAGTCAAAACTGCACTCTCTTTTTAACTCTGTTTTTGGCCTTTACCACTTTTTGAGGGAAATAGCTGGCTCTTTAGCTGTTAGATGCTCCACTACTTTCATCAGCTAGCCACTAACTTAGGCCTGGGCCAGTAGTGGCCAGTTAGTTGGTTTATCAGAGCTGTTTTACCAGTAGGTTTAAGTAGCAACACAAGATGTAGGCTGCAAAATCAAAACAATGAGGTGATAAAAGGTAAAACAGGAGATAATTCTCTGTGGGTTTGTCACCATGAGTGACCACTTACATATACAATTAGTTCTGTGATCTGTTATTATAATAAAAAATTGATTATAGGAACAGTGGTGCACTGATTAGCACTGCCACCTCACAGCAATAAGGTTCTGGGTTTGAACCTTGCAACTGACAGGGGCATGTTCTACCTGTGCCTGTGTGGAGCTTCTGCAGATACTTCGGCTTCCTCCAACGGTCCAGAGACATGCAGGTTAGGTGGACTGGTGACTCTAAATTGTATATAGATGTGAGTGTGGGTGGTTGTCTGTCTCTGTGTGCCAACCCTGTGATCGAGGTGGAGACCTGTCCAGGGTGTACCCAACCTCTCACCCAGTGTCAGCTAGGATCCCTAGATAGGTCCCTCTGCAATCTAGGTCTAGGATACATGGTATAGATAATGGATGGGTGAATATATCCACTTTAACTCCTGTTTTGCGTGTTCCATTGTTTTGTATGTGTCCACTCAGTTAAAGATGTCCAATAAACATAGGTTTTTATGTTTCTATTTGATTTGTCTTATTTGAAATTTGAAATCTCCATACCTGCTCAGAGCACTGCCGGATAGTGAATCCAAATGCTCTCATGCCTGTTGAATGACGGGCAAGCTTCAAGATACGGAAGATGCGCATCAACTTGACCACCTTGAGCACCTTGCTGACTTTACTGACCCTTTCCATGGTTTTCCAATCTTCCTGTGCACTGTGGTCTTCTGTATCTATAACAAATGCCTCAAAAAGGATCTGGACAAAGTAGGGCATAACAGCCACCACATCAACAAAGTTGAGGGCACTCTTCACAAAATGTTTGACATTGGATGTGGTGACTAAGCGCAAAAAGTACTCCAAGGTAAAGAAGAGGATGGAACCAATCTCTACCCACTCCATGTAGGTTTTGCCAGAGAGTTTATAGCCACTGAGTTCTTTCACTGTATTCATTGTCATGGCAACAATAGAGATAACCACAAAGAGACTTGAAAACACAGCAAAGGCTTTGGCTGACATTGAGGAGTAAGGATTCTCCATCAGATCCCAGAGGGCTTTCCGAAAGCCTCCAAGAAACATAGTCTTGTAGCCCTCATCATCCTGGTGAGGCTTAATCTCATCAAGCAGCTCCTGGTTGACCTTCAGTTGGTCTCTGATGTCATCCAGTTTCTCCTCAAACTTAATGCGACAGCACCTGAACAAAAGAAGATATTTACTATCAGGTTTTACCAGAACTACTTTGTAAAATTATGCTTGAAATGCACAAACAGTAAGACATCAAGCTACATAATACACATAGTTACAATCAAATATCTGCTGCACCTTGGAGTGTCCTTTAGTTTCAGCCCCCAGAATGACATCTCTTCCTCAAAGTTGACAGGGCAGAGACTATCCATCACCCACAGGACATTACTGCAATAAAAGTGGAATATATAATGGAAAAACATGGGATCCCTGTCAAAAAAGAACTCATTGTTCTGAACATTGTAATCATCACAGAGCGTCAGACACTTGACAGGATCGTTACAAAGGGCAAGGACACCAATCCGCGTTTTTGGATGTCGGAGGACCAAATGTTTCGGGATGTGAAACACCTTTCCACCCACATTGAGGTTGACAATGTTTGATTGCCTTGGCTTTGGTTTCTCTTTGCTCTGATTCTTTTTTGCACTTTTTATCCCACCAGGAGTATCAAGGTTGTCCATAGATGTCCATGGTTTCACAGAACTGTCCTGTGAAAATGGAAATTCACTCTCCTGTTCTTCAGTGCTTTGTGCAAAGCTCATTTCCCGTTTTATGGTTGCAAAAAGACTGGAGCGACTCTTTTTTAGCACTTTCACCTTGGGCTTCATAGTCTCCATGGCAATAGCTCCTAAAACAAACAAACCAAGAGAAAAGTTTGGTGCCAAGTTTGAATCAAGTCAGTGAAAATCAATGACAACAATATTTCACAAGATCGATATTGTCCATTTGATCTGTGTCCAGGCTGAAATAACAATAAAGAAACAGTCTTTCACCATGCAAGAAGATCACCTGCATGTGTTAGGGATTCAGCCTCCTCACTGATTCTCTAATCCTATTGCTGTTCTTTCTGTCCAAACGCAAGTTAAAAATATCGTTCACATGGATTAGTGTTGTGATTTAAGGCTGTAGGTTCTCAGAGAGGAGGAAAGGGCGAGAGGGTGGCGTAATGGCAGTAGTACATGGCTATAAAGAGCTTTTGCACAGAAAGTTCATTCTAATGGTATAGCTAGATTACACGAGGAACCTTTAGCTTTAGTCATTCTAATCATGTGCAGGAAAGGTAAAATAAGCTTGGATTTATATTTTAAATTTACAGTATTGAATAGCCTATGTAATTTTCTGTATTTTCTATCCCTGTAATCTAAACCTCAAAGGCTTTAGAGTGTCCTCTGCTCTCTTGTCTTCATAACTGAGTCCCTATCTGGCATTGGTCTGTTTGCAATTAATCAATAGCATAACTAGTTTGTCCAGTTCAAAATGAAGTCAAGCCAAAAGTCCAGGTTTTATCATTTAACACTGAATAAGGAAACAAATATACATTTTGAGTGTACAGGACAATTTATTTTTAATTTACTGAGTCAGTATTTGAAATTGAGTGCAAGACTGCCTACTACAAAAATGTGGATATGCTGCAGATACTTAAACATAAATATGAATTTGTATACACCCACTGGCCACTTTATTATTGTATGCAAATCACTGCAACACTTCTGCCTTAACATCTGTGCTTATAAAGCTCAAAATGTTTCAGTTTTTGGTGAAATAGTCATAAATGTATAAATTTTATTATACATGTATTATTGATGTCATAGTTAAAGGTGGTGTTGTACTGGACTACATTATATTCAGAGATGTCTCTGTATTTTTGTCCTCCTGGGCTACATGAGAGGGTCGGAATATTAGGAACACATAATATGGGTCTATTACTTAGCATTATGCATTATCCACTAAATATATTGTAGACTGTTGGTCTTTGGTTCTTGTTACCATTGCTAACTCTGAGAGACGAGACAGTCCAAGTAACTTCAAAACAGTGCTCATTTATTCAAAGGACCACAGGTAAAATTAACATTACACGCTCAGGTATCTTCCACCTCTGTGTGTGTCTGTTGGTTAAGTGGTGTGTAGCTAAAAACATTCTCACGACCTCTAGTAACATGTCGTGGCTTAAACATAAGAACCTATTATGGCTAAGGCTACAGTTATACACGTCATAATAATAATATTAAACACCCTGTCTGCTGACAGTCATCAACTCTTCTCTCTAGTTATCCTTGACCAGATGTACCCTGTAGAAACTCATAAGCATGACTAAGCATTTAACAGTCTAACTAGACATCCTATCTCCACTAAACATTTCTAATACATAAAGTATCTAACCAATATCTATCTGACTAAAAATACCTAACAAGACACAGAAAATATTGGTAGGCTTAGTGTTTCTTCCCCGTGGAAGCTTCTATGAACAGGCGGTTCAATCTACCGGAAAAGGAAGTGGAGCTATAAAATAAAATGTGTTTTTTAAATGGCATTTTTCGTCATTATTATCAATGTGCTGGCCTGAATACTTCTAATTTAATTATACATAATTTATTTACTTACAAAATTATCCATTTTTAATAAACTAAATCGAATACAGCGGCGATATATGCCGCCTGTGCACCACGTGACTTCCTTTCCAGTTTAACCTGACAACATGGACACCAGCCGCGTGCAGCCGATCAAGCTCGCAAGAGTAAGAAAACATTTAATATGGTTAAAATATTCATATCCAGATATTCACATTGACACAATAACAACTAATACCTTGTACGATCCCAAAACCATGAAGTCAAATGTGCTTTTATGGGCCAATTAAACATCATCTCGGATCTCATGCGGCCATTATGGAGGCCTAGGTTTCTCTTGGCTAGTTCTCCGCCTGTTGTAACGTTAGGTTCTTGTGTACTTTGTGTGGTCGTATCAGAAAACACTGTATTTACTTATTGACTTATTTACCGTTTAATTTGTTTTGTTTTCAGGTCACCAAGGTGCTCGGAAGAACTGGCTCCCAGGGACAGTGTACACAGGTATGCTAGTAAGGCTAACGTTGCTGATGTTTTAGCATTATATTGGATATAAGGCAAAGATTAGCTATACATAAATTCTGTTTGCGCCCCTCTGTTTATAACGTTAGTTTTCTGACTTGAAGAAAACGTGCAGAAACCCCGCATATGACGACAAATCTGTCCTTAGACAAAGTTACAGTTGAGTGCTGCTGATGGTCTTGAGCTCCTCACGGTTGTAAAGAGACGGTGTCAGTAAAGCAGCTATTCGTACCTGAACACTACATTACGTGTTATAAGTTTGCATCTTCAAATTGTTTTGAACTCCAGAGCCCAAAGACATTCAATGTTTGGGCCACAAGAGCAGTCTCTTACTTTGGACAACCAGGAATCAGAAGATCTCCAATATTTTTGTTGGGAAAATTGATGACAATAGAAAGTGTAGTCATCTGATTATTAAATGTGATTGCTGTAATTTTCTGCAGTTACTGGTGACTGCATGTTAAGTCATGACTTAATTTGAACTGGTGTGTCAGATTTTGTCTTCTAAGTGACAAATCCTAAATTGTCCAGTGCAGTCTAAATGAATTTCCTTTGCAGGTCCGTGTTGAGTTCATGGACGACAGCAACCGCTCCATCATCAGGAACGTGAAGGGTCCAGTCAGAGAAGGAGATGTGCTGACACTTCTGGAGTCTGAAAGAGAAGCAAGGAGGCTGCGATAGGTGAGGACACTGCAACACAGCCAATTCTTTTAGCTTGTCTTTGGGTGTTCCAGTTCAGTTGGCATCACTGAGGCTGCATCTACATTACAGGCATTAATGCTCAGTTTCAATCTCTTAATCTTATTTGGGTGTAATAGGGGCCTGTCCTTTGATAATTTATAGACAAAGCAGCAATACTAAACCAATTTCAGTTTACATGTAGTTTGGATTTCATCATCTCCCAGTATGTGTAAAGTGGATACAATTTGGCAAACGGCTTTCAAAGCTGAAACAACACCAGTCTTTGGTCTTACAAAAACAGTGGAGAGAGCTTCACAATGATTTTTCTGAGCTTTTTAATTGTATTTTTGACCCACTCCAACACTTTGCCCTCATGACATGGTTGCTGCCACTGAAAGGCAGCTGAAAGGTGTTGCTGACTGCAAGTGTAAGACTCAGTTTGGGGAGGATGTGTTTTTTATTGCATGCGTTTACTGGTCTGTTGTTTGCAGCTGGAGAATAAAATTAATTTCAGTGGTGCAGAAAATCTATACAAGATGTAGTGTTTCTGAAAGTTCTGTGAAACCCAGTCGGTGAGATACTTGTGACGCACCGTTTATGGTGCATTTTAGCCGTCACCATATAAGGTTACGCCTGGTGTCCTGTGTGCTGACCTCGGGACTCGAGCACTTATGATGGGCCAGTTTCCTCCTGCAACATCAGCTGAATGAGAGAGACAGGTGGCTGAGTTTAAGAAAAAAAAAAACTACACTGGGTCTCAATAACTACAACAAAGAAGCACTATAATACTTTTCCATCAAGCTACATGAACTGAGATTAACATTTCACTGTTGTACTTGGCTCATCCTGTTAATAGAGACATTGAAAGAGCCATGTTTTTCTTTTGCGAGTTGGATGTAGAGTCTTGAGATGGCTGTCTCTGTTTTCACAGTGCCCCCCGGATGCCGAGGTGCCAGTCCAGTGCTGTGGAGCTGAGGATGCCATCAGTTTCGTTTGCATTAGCCTATGTCTCACCTGTTCACATGTTTTGAAATAAATTTGGTTAATGAGCTGAAAATGTGGACATCCTGTGTGTTCTGTATGATGTGAATTGTTTTTCTTGAGGCTGCGACAGTGAACCGACTTCTGTCTGACACAGATGGATAAATTTGCTTTAAGTTTTTCCTCATGCCTCTTAATTAGTCAGTTGTGGTCTAGGTTGAGAGGCAACATGCTTTACAGAGATGACTGAATAAACTGAGGCAAAGTGCTACATTTTCACATTAAAGTCCACTTTTTCTAACTTTGTAATAGGTGGTTGTAGTAAAACCATTTGCCACCTGCAAAATGATGTTCCCCTAAAATTATCTACAATTACCAGTTACCTTAATTGTGAATTTGCTTATAGCGTGGTTCTCAAGTGTCTCTAGTATAAACATGACTAAGTTTGCTGCCCACTGAAACATGAGGGCATTTATTTTTAGATAACCAAATGTCACAAGGGCAAGTGGATAGTAGCCAGTGATTATGCAAATCTGCTGCACTACTATGAGTATGTTAGGTGGCTTGCTGTCATTTTTGCACATTCTAACATCTATATCTACAGTGGGTTCAGTTTTAAATAAACAATTTCCACCCGTCATAATACGCTTAATCACCCATGATGTCAAAGTAAAACCATGGTCATGGAGTAGTCTGAAAATTAAGCAAGAACCAAAAACTGAAATCTCTTACTCAGGAATATGGAGACTTTGCTGTGCCACTCCAGTTTCTTGTTAGGTACACTCTGCCTTAATTGTCCTACACAGGTGGCCAGAATTCAGCTGGAATGCACCTGTTGCAGGTTGAATTGATTGGACATAGTTAAGGTGTAAAAGGGTCCAGAGTTCACACTATTGTCAGAACAAAATTAAACCAAATCATGGCAAAGGTATCTCTGCAGCACTCCATCTATCAGGCCTTAATTTCAGAGTTCTAAGACAAAAAATCCATTGTTGACTAAAAGGCATGTGGGTTTGATGCATGGCCTGCAAAGCGCTGTGACAAGATTATCTGGTGTGACTAGATGAAAATCTTTGGACAGAACAGCAGGTTCTATGTCTGGTGAACAACGGGTAGTGCACATCACCTGGCGAATACAGAAAAAGTCTTTTGTATTACCAGGTTGGTGGTGTGCAGTTCTGGCCAGCAGAGGGCAGCACCACTCTGAGTTGACTACACCCAGTCTTGTCACGGTGCAATATTGATGAGTTATTTCAGGACAAGTGAAATTTACAGTCTGATGAAACTACTGTCTTTAGTTATAAATTATGTTTCTAATATACTTTATACTTTTATGCTATAGTGTAATATTTATACTTTGTTTCCAACCTGGAGTCAAAGACACTTTTCCTTCTCACATTTGCTGACAATAAAAGTACATCAAATACATCCATAGGTGCACAAATGACTGGACTTCTTCTGCTCAAATGTGGACCAACCACTTTTCTGCTGGCTGAATGAAGTCATGACACCAGCATTAAAAGTTGTTTGAGTGAGGCTGCATAAACATGTGAACTGTTCATGTGTTTCACATGACTTAGTTTCTATTTACATGGATTTTTATGAACTTTAAAATAAATCTTTTGAAACTAGAGAACAGATAAGTGCACCACAGCATTAGTAGGTAGGTTTGAATGTTAATCCTGATTTTCTGTTCTTTCTCACCGTATTTTTGTGCAGTTTTCCCTTTTCTTGTATCTCTTAAATCTACTTTTCCATTACAGGTACACTATACAGTATCCATTATTTTTCATGTGGTTCATATATTACTTTTGAGGTATTTGTACTTCCTGTGCCAGCTCACAAAGTTCAACCTGCCCCAGGAGCTGCTGATACAGTTCTACAGAGGAATCATCACGTTTGTTCTCTGCTCATCCATCACTGTCTGGTTTGGCTCAGCAGCCAAACAGGACAGGAACAGATTCCAGCGAACAGTCACGTCTGCAGAAAAGATCATCAGTGTCAGCCTGCCCTGTACACCTCACAGGTAAAAAGGAGGGCAGAGAATAGTTCTGCAGACCCCTCACACCCTGGACACAAACTGTCTGAACTCCTCCCCTCTGGACGGCGCTACAGGTCACCGTACGCCAAAACAACCAGACACAAGGACAGTTTCTTCCCCTGGGCCATCACTCTGATGAACAGTTAAGCCCTGGCTGTATAACAAAATAACAACCCTCAGTGCAATGCCTTGCAAATATACCTTTGTGTATATCTATCTGAAAAACTGCATCTAAACTGTGTGTATATATATTTCTGTATCTATAAGTACTTTATCTTTATTTCCCCAGTGTACATTCCTTTTTCTTGTTTGTTCTCTCAGCATCAGTTTGTTTACTTGTCTACACTTTGCTTTACAGAAGAACATTGTACACACACATTGAGAGCCAGACTCAAATTCCTTGTTTGTCCAACACTCCTGGCCAATAAAGCTGATTCTGATTTTTTTTAGTCAGTAATAAATAGATTAACTAAAAATACTTTAAAAGGTGAGTGATGACAGTTGTTTCAAATAAGAAACTAAAGTTAAAATAGACATTTAGTTTAGTTTTTCCTTAGTTTATCATATTGAAAATGTATTAAGATTATAGCGGTTGTTAAATTGGCTTGTGTAACTGTTTTGTACTGTACAGCTGAATTCAGCATGTTGTGAAACACTTGCTTGGACCCGTAGACATGCAGCATCACCTTTTATAAGACCACTGAGAGGAAAGGGTTTGGTTGCCAATGCTTCTGCATATCGTTGCCAAAAGCAACACAGGTGTGCCCATTTTCTTCTCACAGTGCAGCTTATTTACCATTAGATATTCCAAAGCATACACCCCTGCAGCTACATTTCTTGAGGTTTATAAACTTTGGAGAATGACTGCAGCTTCAGCCAGGAGGGGATCAACAAGTCATGTGAAACCAAAGAGGAGCTGTGACACTAAGCCACAAGTCAAGTCCTGGCAGCTATTCAGTAGGTTAAAGTAAGACATGCAAGATGACATGACAGCTGGAAGCGGTGAACCAGAAACAGAGATGACAGAGAGAGGCAGAAAAACTGTTTCTTGACACTTAATTCTCCAAATCCAGTCAGGGATCATGCTGTAATAAGCAGCATTAATTTAGCACCTTCAGTGTCAGTGTGAGCATAAATAAATGGTCAAGTTGTACTGTGGTCTGTGGTTATCTATGGCTCTCACAGCCTGCACACAGACAAAAGGTTTACTAAGAAACTGCACTAGCTTCATTCATGTTTTGACCCAAAAGAAAATTAAAGAGAAAGTGAGGAGGAACAACAGACAGCGAGCGTAATAGAGGGAAAAGGTGATTCCAAGTTTGCCGAATTCACAGGCAACATCAGCTTTGTGGTTGAAAACAACTCAGTGTCTCTTTATCCTCCATGTCATCATCATTCCACACTTGTCCATCTTCCTGCCTAACCCATCCACCCAGCAAGGGTGGCATGTGTTTACCATCTCTCCATCTCCCCCTCCCTTCCACCATTTCTCTCTGAAGCAGAAACATGCCAGGTTAGAAACAAATATAACCCAAGGCCACTCCCTGTTTGTCTGCATGCCATCAAGGTCTAACTCAGGCAGGAGAAAACACCAGCAGGCGGCATGTCTGTCTGTCTGTCTGTCTGTCTGCCTCTTTCTCTCTGTGTTCGTATGTCTGTGTGCAGGCCGCATCTGCAACAGACATACAAAACATCAAGGACATTATAAAGTCTAGAGGTGTTAACGCAGAGTAGCGTCTGTTAAAAAAATCATTTGCTATAAAATGCTATATGTTGCTTTCTTAAATAGAGCACATTGTTTTAGAGTTATATTACACGATACTGGGGAAATGCAACCATACAGCCCCAGAGTTCATTTAGAATTCTAGTATTTTACCTGAGCAACAGTTCAGAAAGGTCCACATATTTAAACATCCTTTATTTTATTTAATTTTATTTCTGAAAAAGTCAGATGCGTAGCTCTGTGTCACAAACTGGGTTTGCAATACCACAATCTAAAACAATCTATTATGACCACTATGACACAGAGGCAATGCCAAGAAGACACTCCCTGTCCCTCTTTTTCTCTCCCTCTGCTGGTTTCTGGCCTTCTCTTTTATCCTCACTGTCCCCCTCCAATCCATCTGGTCACTGACCTTTAGTAAACCCTGCCTATCTACTGGTTCCTGCCACTCCCTGCAGAAGGTGAAGCTGGTTTGATTGTGCTCCAGGAAGACAATGCAGGAATGGGAGGATCTTTAGAACAGAAAAAAGACTGATATTAAAAATTAAAAATTAAAAACCTGACATGCATACCATATTTATGATTTAAAGTGTAATAATTATGTTTATCTGTTTGCAAAATCAAAGGCCTTTTCATTATATCAAGGCACTCAACTAACACACAAGAGGAACATCTTGAAACAATATGTATATGGAAGTAGGCATAAGAAGAATTCATGAATAAAGGCATTGTGCCACAGAAACAAACAAAACAGACCAGAAAGAGTCCAGCAAAGAGAAGACAGCTTAAAGGATGACAACAAAAAGCCAGCTTGGATACCGATTTAGTTTTATGTAAGCAAAAGCACAAAAGGGGAAGACTTCATTGTGCGAGGGTCAGAACAACAAGCCCTTCATTTATTTTTTGAAGGGTCCATCCCCCACAATGCATATGACTTTCCCATTATTCCCTGTACAACAATGTCAGAGCACAAACAGCAGGTGCACAAACAGAGAAAGTGAGTGAAACGCAGGGTCAGATGTTTTTTGCTGTTGATAATAATGTCAGGGAGGGATGGCAGTGTGCAGGCAGGGCTCAGAGAAAACTGTTCAAAAAATATGTGGCACACATCTTTTCGTGAACACTGTAAAAAAACAAAGCTTTGCAGGCTCTGTCCCCTGGACCAACATGAATACTGGCATGGAGAGCTGATACACAGCCAGGTACCGTGTTCTCCAGAGGTAGGAGAGTTGGTGTGGCCCTGAGGGTGAATCAGTTGTGATCAGGCTTGTTTTTATGATCATACTACGAGACAACTTTATCTGAGAGCAAG